CCAAAAGAGTACGTTAAGCTTTTGGGGCTCTGCCAGGAGGAAACATCACTTTTTTGAAAAATCATACTAGGGTTATCTTGAGATGTACGGCTTAGATTAATCTTACATTTGACATGTGGCATTAGTAAGGATTGAAAAATGATAAAATTAATTAAAATATTTTTTTTGAGAAAAGTATTTATTTTTAATTAATAAAAATTACCAAAAATTGAGAAAAATCTGAAAAAAATTATTTTGGAGGATAGGGGTTTGCTTGGAACACCTGAAAAAAAAATTGTGCACCAAAATAAGTTGGTTTCATGCTGAAAAGTTTTGATAGAAATGGGTTTTCACAAATATTTAATTTCTAGAAATTATAAAAAATTGGGAAAATTTATTTTGTGGAAATGGGATTGTATGGAATCAAAAGGGAACACTCCCACACTACTTTTATGAAAAGATGAGCTAGTCTTATGCAAGAAAGGTGCACAAAGACGAGTTTGGGACTGTCAATCAAAGCGGTGACATGGGGGTGTGTGTGGGTGATATGTTGAAAAAGCAACAATGGTCACAAGTGCATTGTGGGTGTGCATATCCCTTGCACCATGAGACACAACATGAGGCACCACTTGCAATGTGGGTGTGTACACCCAATGCAAAATGATGCAGCATGGGGCGTTGTGTGCAGTGTCAGCACATCCACTGATGAGAGTAGAATTGATCATATTTTTATCCCCAAATATTTTATCTTTCATACCTAATTAGTACTTAATTGGACTCATATGTCTTGTATTTCGGTTCAAGATATGAAAAAAAGGCATCAGGAGCAAAGAAAGGCAATTCAGATGATTTTTCACAGTTTCGGCACCGTTCAGTAATTTGGGCTTAACTCACGTATCCAAACTCCGATTGGGATGATTCAATACTCACTTGAAAGATAAGAGAAAAATCCACAACTTTCATGTTTCGGGCTTTCACAGATTCGGCCTGCATCGAAGTCAAATCCGGGCCCGAAGTTGGGGAAAATTCGCAAGAAGACCCAATCCGCAACTGAAGCCCAATTCGCAAAGGAGGTCTAATATGAATCCAAGAACATGGAACTGAGAAGAGTCTTACCAGATCTAAATTTATGATGTAATCCCAGAAAGATAAAGAGATTGAGTTCCTTAGATAAAGAGATAAGAGTAGGATTAGACTAGGACTTTCTAATCTTAAGAGATTAACTTCAAGAGAGAGTAGGAGACCACCCCCTCCCCTTTAGGCTATATAAAGAAGTAGGGGGTGGACTAGAGGATCATCAATCAACAATTGGAGGAATTCCTGAAGTCCCTCTGAAGTGAATCAAGA